TGAAGCAAAATTTAACTCTGAATGCTTTACTTAATGGCTGAAATGAAAATTATTATAGGAATATAATGATCAAAGAAAAGGCATTGTCTCCTGTTTTATTTCTGCCCAGACTCCCTTCCAGGGCCTGAGGCTGCCTTCTTATAAAACAATATATCTGAGTTTTTATTCAGCTTTCATTCATAGTGGGTAGAAACCCCATAAACACATCTTTGTGTTCAACTGTCAATTGTATTTTTAAAAATACAAACAATTGATTGTGAACCCAGTACATAATTAAGACATTGGAGTCTTGCAAGCATTTCACCAATATTAGCTCAATAATTCTAACCACATTTTATGGCAGACTAGTATTATTGCTGTATTTCATTTAGATCTCAAGATAATGTGTATGATTCCTATTGTCCTGGCTCCCATTATCCGGTCCATATTATTCTTACAGAAATCCATTGAAATAGCTTTAGGCAGCAAGAGAGTGAATATCCCAAATTGTTGTATTGGCTTTTGTGGATGAGGGGGGATTTGGACCTCACTTCAGAGGAGAGAAATACCGAGTGCAGAACCCTGAGAAGTATTCTAGTAAAACTGTAACTGTGACTTAACATTAACAAAACTTATGACTAACTTCATATTTCACCACCAGACAGAGTTTATTTGGTTTACTGAAGAAACCACAACTGGCTGACATGAACTTACTAAGCATAAACTAAGCAAACCAAATTATGACTTAGTATAAGAATGAGACCATGGAAATATTTGAATGCGATCATTTCTTTTCAGAAATGTTCTGCAAACCATTATTTTCATTTAAAATCAAATGGATAAATGGAGTAAGATTTTAATTTTACTTAATTGATGACATTTAGGTTTTAGCTTGCTCTTATTTAGTTTATCAACTTAATGCTGTCTAATCATTACCAGTGGATCCTGGACCAAGTGTGACCCTTATCCCCAAATGTGCGTATTGTATATTTCTATATAAATATATGTGAATAAGTGCAGGAATAGTTCATCTGATTAGTTAATGAAACTAATCTGCTAATTTGCTATTATATTGCTGAAACTTTTCACAGTGAAAGATGAGACATAATACAATAATAGTCGAACCCTAATCTAAATATACAGGGTGTAGCAGAAGTCAAGGCATGGCCCAATCAAAATATGTTTTATGATTTAAAAAAATAGGGTAAAGATTATCATCCTTTGAAATGTTCAAAGGCTGTGCATCAAATATTTAAGGAAGGTTTTTTAAAAAAAATGCAACCAATTTGAACATTTAATGTATAGTAGTTTATAGAATAAATACTCAGACAAACAAGCTAACAGTAAACAACAACCTAATCAAGGAACCACCAAGATCACTTCCACAAATATTGACAGGACAAGCCAGTAGTATATACAATGAGAGTAAACTCACTCCATACTAGCACTGATGATGTTACCTAGTTTACCTGCAAGAAAACAAAGAAGCTCAGAGAACACTTAGGACCCCACAATTAATAGAATAAACTGTTCATGGGGCACGACTTGGGGTATGTACCGTAAGTAGTGGTTGACTTAAAACCACAATTGGGACCAGAATTTTCAGTGCTAAGCAAGGCAGTTAAGTGAATCATGCCCAATTTTGAAAACACTTTTTTTTTGCCATGGTTGATAAAGTAATTCCTGCAGTTATTAGGTGAATCTGGCTCATCCCAATGACTTTGTTGTTGGAAGTTGGTTGGGAAGGTCAAGGGCAAAATCACATGATCTTGGGAAGCGGCAATCTTTGCAAATACAAACCAGTTGCCAAGTACTTGAATTTTGATCACATCACCCTAGGGATGCAGTGATGGTCATAAACGTGAGGACCAGTGAGTGGGTTGTTTTTTTTTACTGCTGTTGTAACTTTGAACGGTCCTTAAACAAATGGTCTAAGTCTGCGACTCTCTGTCTTCCTGAGGTGGCGCAGTGGTTAGGGTGCAGTACTGCAGGCCACTTCAGCTGACTGCTAGTTCAGCAGTTCAGCGGTTCAAATCTCACCGGCTCAGGGTTGACTCAGCCTTCCATTCTTCCGAGGTGGGTAAAATGAGGACCCGGATTGTTGTTGGGGGCATGCTGACTCTCTGTAAACCGCTTAGAGAGGGCTGAAAGCCCTATGAAGCGGTATATAAGTCTAACTGCTATTGCTATTGCTATAAAATAATGATGCAGAGAACTTCAGCCCAATCTGTCTAATATTGATGCCTGGGAAGAATTTAGAGTACATCATAAATAAAGTGATAGGTATTTTAAATACAATATGGTGGTTACTAGAAATCAGCACGGATATGTTAACAGATTTTGGATTACTAATCTTCTCTTCTTTTTAATTAGGCAATTTCCTTAATAGATTTTGAAAATGCTACAGATATAACCTATTTTAACTTCAGTAGAGACATGCTGATTAACAAATATATGTAACAAGAAAGTGATATACTGTTGGCTTGGAAATCATATTCAAAAAAGATTCTGCATTGAATTGGAGAGAAGTATTAAGGGGATAATCCTGAATTTTGTAATATTTTTATTAATGACTTGGGATGAGGAGGTGGTAGGAATACTTAAAAGATAGGATATAAATCCAATGAATAAATAAACCATATTACAGAAAAACTCTCCATTAGCAAATAATCTCCATATTAGATTTACAAATGACAAAAACTGGTTGTGAAAACAGATATTGTGTAAGAATACAATTGAAATCAATTTAGAGAAATAGGTTCAAAATAATAAATTTAAATGTAATGGATTAAAACTTTAAGTGCAAGGCATATAAAGAGGGATGTCTGGCTTGGTAGTTGTGAAAAAGATCTTAGAATTATAATTGGTTGCAAACGGAGTATGAACCTGCAATGGCTGGAAAAAAAGCAATGCAATTCCAAGATGCATTAGAGGTAAATTTTCTAAATCATAAGAAATATTTGTTCCACTATGCTTTGCATTGGTCATATCTGATCTTGACTGTTAGTCCTGTTTGACAGAAAGTCAGATTCTGATTAAATGTTAGGAGAAATGTCCTAATAATAAAAACACTTCAAGAGAGGTAAGCTCCCTTTTATGGGATTGTTTCATATGGAAGCTAGGCAGGAGTCCATTAGAGACAATTTAGCTTCTGCACTAAATCAGGCAGTTATATGCCATGATTTAAACCATCCTTTCTAATTCTATTAGATCTACTTACTTCTCATCTCATGTCTCACAATCAACGATGTTTACCTTTTATTTTTCTTCTTCACTTGTTTGCTTTTGATATTACATCTTGTTTGCTGTAATGTGCTATCACTCTTTTTGGAGTACTGAAAAATTCAAAACCTCTAGAAAATAACTCTTTTCTTTCACTTATGCCATCATTAAAACCAGGTGATCCTAATAGAAATATGGAGTTACTTCAGAACCCAAATTTAAGACTGCCTTGCAGAAGACTGCCTCCTGCCTAGGCAGGGGGTTGGACTAGAAGACCTCCAAGGTCCTTTTCAACTTGGCTATTGTATTATTGTATTAAGAAGTGAAAGGCATTCAAAGGTTGTTTTATAGCCTTTCCTAGCCTAGTGCATTTCAAGAGTGTTAGCCATTCCTCCCCCAGACTTCACATCATAGCATTTTGGTGACCACCATGTTGGGAAAGATTGATTTATACTGTTAGAAATAGCAGCTAAAAAGGCCAATGATTAAATCAGAACTGCTGGGCATAAAGGTTTTTTTAAAGCCCGTTTTCTTAAGCAATATGGTCCTTAACAGAGCTATTTCCCTCATTATTATTCTCCCATCCAATCCATTTTTCTTTATCTCTTTTTCTTTTCTTCTTCAGGAAGCAAACATGAAGGCAGAGACTGTTTTACGAACGATGCAGGCTATCCCTTTATAAAACAAGCAATTATTAAGTAATAAATATTGAAGGAAGGAAGTGTTTCATCTTTTATGAGGCATTACTCTCATAAGCAGTAGTTTACAGAAATAGTGTATCTACTTATAGGTAACATTAATTCCCCCTCCCACCAAGTAATACTTTATTGTTTACCTAGGAGGAATGCCTTAACGTAAGACTACCGATGGAACTGTCTTTGTCCCATTACATTGGCCAATCCCACTTGGTCAGGCAGGGGAACTACATTATGGACCCTGCCAGTTAAAGAATTCTGACAGGCAGAGTCCAGAAAGAAAGCCTTCTCTGTCACTGTGGAACATTCTCCCTCCAGAGGTGAGGCAAACCCCACCCCTTCCTGACCACCCAGACAGGGGTAGAAACATTGTTCTATGGCCTTGCTTGCTTTGCGCAGGGGAGAAGCACACAACTGAGGGGCTGGTTAGCACCCTGAAAACCTTCCCTTCATCTTTTAATTAATTTTTAGTATTGTTTTCAATAACTCTGGTCTCTTTTTAACTTTTATATATTGTTTCTATGTTTTAATATTTTAATAAAGGGCATCCGGAATCCCTCTGTGAGGGAGATGGGCAGTTCTAAAATGTGATTAAAAAAAAAAAAAAACTTTCCTGAGAATACTGTAGTAGAGATTGATTAACTTGGTTTTAGTCTAGCTTTTAAGTGAAAGTATGATCATTTAAAATTCAATATTGCTTTTTTGGGGGGTGGGTGGGTAAGTTTTATACTTATAAAAATTATTTTGTGGGGAAAGTATTACTGGCTTAAGTCAAAATGTATTTTAGAATTAATAAAATAGTTTCCTGAACTAATTACCTTAACTGATCTAAGAATGAACAACTGTGGATTATATTATTTCTCTAATCAGAGCAAGAAGGGAGGAAATGCAGCTGGTTTCACTACATCCTGTCAGTGTATTACCAAATCACTGCTAATATTCATTGCAATGAGATCTAAGTCCTCCTCTTCTTTCCTATCCAGCTACTCCTCAATAAGTTTTTTTTAAATCCAGACCTAGTGGTAGTGTTGCTACACACACATTTAACGTAAGTTGTAAGTTTCAGCTATCTTCCCACCCATCCTCCTTTAGAAAGCCACATACCTCCTTAAATTTATGCACTAGCTTCTCAGGATCCATCTCCACTGGAGACAGCATGTCTTCATTTTCAGCCAATTCAAAAACCTCAATAGCCATTTCATTGTTGGGGAACATGGGGCTCATCTCTTCATCTTCATCTGTAGCATATTCTCCTGTCTGCAAATAACAAAAACAGGTTTTATCATTAGACATTCTGATACTTACCTTGACAGCACACTAAGTATAGAACTAAGGACTACTTAAAACAATTCCTTAGAATTCAGGAAGTAAGTATAAGTTCAAGAAAATTACACTTCCTGTTTTGAAGCAGGGGTAAAGCTTGAATGATTTGCACAAAAGAAATGAGCAAACTAGTTTCAATCTGAAATGTGTACATCTCTTTCTTACAATTCTTTTCAAATCACACATCACATAAAAGTAGGACATTCAACTTGTTTCTGCTTTTTCTGTGCCAGTATCATCTATGAAGCAAAATACAAAAAATGTTTAAATATTCTGGATAACTATAGTTTCAATGTGAGGTGCTAATATAGTAATAAACAGCACAGAAAACAATACCAAGAAGAGAAAGAGACCTTCACCAGTTATAAAGAAAAAATTGGGGGCCTAAGGAAATTCATGAGTAATCCAAATTTAGTCAAAGCATAGTTTCATTACGGTTGCTAAAATGCTCTTCAAACATGTCAACAGCTGTTCAGCTTCCCTGAATTTAAGGTTGAAGCTCTACTACTTTCCTCTCCTCCCCACAGGCAAAGAGAAATTGATTTTACTTACTTCTTCATCCTCCTCTGTATATTGGGTATACCTCTGTTCCATCATTTCTCGCTGCCATCGTTCCTGTTCCAGGGTCTGCTGGATCAGTTGCGCCACTTCACTCTGCTCTCCTGGCTTCTCCCTGCCAATGAGGAACCTAAAGGAAATTAAAATGAATAAATGAATGCATGGCATTAATGTAATAAGGGAAATCTCGGTATGGTCGAATAGCATCTGGAGTTAGATAATCAGGCTCTATCTCAATCTCTTTCTCTTTCTCTCTATCTACAACAAAGTGAAAGGTATTCTAGCTCTTGAGTAAATATGTATAGATCTGGTTATTTCTACTCTAAATGCTTCAATCAGAGTAAATAACGAGCAGCAAAGACTAACACACCAACACTACTTTCTATTAATTCAGAGGAAATTAACGTTTAGAGGCCTGAGTTGTATTTTTTTTCCTTTGCAACGAAGATCACAATAGATATAATCCCAACTGTTTACAAAGGTAGTACAGAACTGATGACTACTTCAAATAATTCTTTGGAATAAAGAAAGCAGTACATACAAGAAAATTACATTTCCTGTTTTCACACTAAGGTAATGCTGAAACGGTTTACATCAAGAATTGGGCAAGCTAATTTCAGTCTGAAAAAAGTCTCCTTTCAAATATTAACTCTTGTGAAAACAGGAAATTCACTGGAATGTGCGGGGTCAGGCTTGAAACCTCCCTACCCCACAATCATTCAAGGAAGAGCTTGTTCTAGGTATGTTAAATTTATCTGAAGCTTATGACCTAAGTGTTCCTTTGCTTACAGGGAACTGTGCTGCCACTGTTTGGTGGTTTGCTGTGGGAATTTGGGGGATATGATCGCAGTACCTAGTGAATGCAAACAAAGCAAGAATCCTAAGTATGGGCTGCTTATTACCAATAGATTGCCTATTGCAGTGCTAAATGGACACATCAGAGAATTCTCAGAACCAAAATAAATGGTCTTAATATTCAGGCATATGAGATCAGATTTTTTCTTTAAATTTTTAAAATCAGCTACCAAGCTTTCTTAATTAGATTAGCAACAGGCATACTAGTAAAGAAGAATTGTTCATTCTTCTTTACTAGTATGCCTTTTTAAACAGGACTACCATTTCTGTTCATCTTGGTGGAAAATAGAGATGCCTCTCTTTTCACACCAACAACAGGGGAGGTAGATTCCAACATAAATATAGTTCAAAGAAGTTGACTCAAAAACCAGATAAGTCCCAGAAATAGAGAGGCAAAAAGCAGCACAGTTTTCAAGCCTGACCTTAATTTGAGTTAGGTCTAACACAGCTATTCTTAATGCTGATTTTCAAGATGGAGTGTTATAATTCCCATCTTCAAAAAAGGAAAAAAAATGGATCCAAGAAACTGGAAACCAGCCTGACATCAATACCTGGGAAGATTCCAAAAATGATAATCAAGCAATGAATTTCTGAACATTTAGAGGCAAACAAAGTCATAACCAGAAGCCAACACGGAGTTGTCAAAAACAGATCATGCCAGACAAATCTTATTGCATTCTTTGACAATGTGACAAAATTAGTGGACCAGAGTAATGCTATGAATATATTGCTTACTTGGACTTCAGTAAGGCATTTGACAAAGTAGACCACAACCTATTTCTTTGTAAGCTAGAAAAATATGGGTTAAATAGCATCATTAGATTCATAACTGGCTGACCAACCCCACTCAATGTGTAGTCCTTAATTGAACTACATCTAGATGGAGATGTAGTTCACAAGAGAAGTGAGTGCTCTGCAAAACCAGAACCGCAAATGCTGCAACAATGGTGCCCCACATGTCTGCCCGACATGTAGCAGAACATTTTGTGCCCGTATAGGCCTTACCAGCCACCTGCTGACACATCGTGGACAGCCCACAACCTGTAGATGTCAAGGTCCTCTTCGAACACGATGGACGAACATCATCATCACATCTACATGGAGGGAAGTAAGTAGTGAGGTACCCCAAGATTCTGTTTTAGGCCCAGTACTCTTCAATATCTTCATCAATGATTTAGATGAGGAGATCGAAGGGGAACTTATCAAATTTGCAGACAACACCAAGCTGACAGGAATAGCCAATATTCCAGAAGATAGGATCAAGATCCACAACAATCTTGACAGATTTGAACACTGAGTCCTATCTAACAAAATGAAATTTAATGATGAGAAAATTAAGGTTCTATATTTAAACAAGAAAGACCAAATGCACAGGTATGGTAGCTGGCTTAATAGTAGTAATTGCAAGAGGGATGTTGGAGTCCTAACCCAGCAGTGTGCTACAACTGACCCAGCAGTGTGCTACAACTGCTAAAAAAGCCAACACAGTCCTAGGTTGCATTAACAGAAGGATAGAATCAAGATGACATGAAGTGTTAGTATCACTTTAAAATGGCTAGGTAAACCACCCTTTGGGATATGGCATCCAGTTTTGGTTGCCAAGTACAAAAAAGATGTTGAGAGTTTAGAAAGAATGCAGAGAAGAGTAACAAAAATGACTGAAGGCAAAAACATATGAAGAATGTTTGCAGGAACTGGGTATGTCTAGTTTAATGAAAAGAAGGACTATAAGTGACATGATAGCAGTGTTTCAATATCTTAGACCAATAGCACAAAGAAGAGGGGGGCAACCTATTCTCCAAGTACCCGAAGGGAAGACAAGAAGTAATGGATGGAAAGTAATCAAAGAAAGAACCTACTTATAACTAAGGAGAAATTTCCTAATAGTTAGAACAATTAATCAGTGGAAAGACTTGCCTGCAGACGCTCATAGTTGTCCAACAGTTTTAAAGAAGATATTGGACAACCATTTGGACAGCCAGGTTTCCTGCCTGAGCAAGGGGTTGGATCAGAAGACCTCCAAGGTCCCTTCCAACTGTGTTATTCTGTTATTCAAGGCTCAGAATTGGGAGAATAAACCCGAAGGCTTCTGAACACATATAGAATAAAGGTCTGAAGAACTCCATAAAGACACAAGGTTCCCAGCATAGTTGCATCAGGCTTCCAGATTGCAGGAAATTACTATCAGACTTATAAAAATGTCTCCACCCTTTCTGCTTTCACAAATTAACCTCTAGGCAGAAATTTCAATTTTGTGGAACAGTGTAATTTTTTTAAAAAAACAGAGGAAATTGTGGCTAAATTGTGTCAGTGCAACTATTAAATTGATTATCAAACACTTTATTGGTTAACACAATCTTTTCCCTGCAAACGCAGAATGGGTGGTATGCAATATGGAAGAAACTAGTTGCCTAGCAACCCATTCTCATAGTTGAAGTTCCTGTCGCTTGGGAACAGAGCAGCACGTAAATCTCGGAGTAATGGACTCAGTTCTAGGTCTGAGTCCCTATATTGTACAGGCCTTCTGATAGAAAGTGCATGCTGTAATCACTCATCATCTGTGTCTGCTTGTGCTAGATGTGTTTGGTGACAGACCATTTTCAAGCAGCTCATTCTTCTAAAACCAACATTACAAGGATGCTGGGCTAATGCCAAAACTTGAATTCTTAATACTGCCAGGAAAAGGCAGGCCAAATGCCTCTGGTGAGATTTTAAAAAGGCCAAAGAGGCAGCTGTATGGATAAAGGACAGATAGAAACACAGCTGACAGGAAAATGCAGTGAACACAGAGCTAAATATCATTTCCACCCTCCAAGTCCATTTAAACTTCTTGATTCATTTCGTAGAAAATCAAACATTCCTGAATATGGAACACTTCTCTATGATACAAAGATGCATATTCTGAGATAATGGGTGTGGTGCCTCTATAAAATGGACCCAATCCCACTAGGGCAACATTGCCAAGTAACGTTTCCTGTCAATTTCATTAAACAAAATGTTTATTTCATAAACCATTTTCCTTAAAGAGATATTTTAAAAAATAAAACCTAAAACTTCCACCTATTTTTCCCTTCAAGTTCTGATCACAGTTATTTGGCTTCTCTGCATATCTATCATCCATCCATATTTATCTATCTATCTATCTATCTATCTATCTATCTATCTATCTATCTATCTATCTATCTATCTATCTATCTATCTATCTATCATGCATGCACGCACACACAAAAGAAATCTACAAACTTCATCATTAATCTGGTGGTGAGATGATTTTTCCTCTTTTCCCTATGCTCTAAAATCTCCCTCTATTTCTCCCATTTGCTTTTTTACCAGATGGACTGTAGGTTTTGAAGAAGAAAAGGGTAATCATGCTGGAGTGAGGGCAGGAGAGAATATAGAAATTTAAAAGCTGCCATGACTCTATAATGTTCTCTTAAAAAACAATAGTTATATTTTTAAAATGCATCTGATCAGGACTATACTTAAGTAAGTTATTAAATTCAAACACCGATTGAGAATTTACTGTAATATGTAATACTATAATAAAAAATATAACTTGATGTATATAATGTTGGCCTTTAATTGGGGGTAACAGGCAGATATTCAGCACTAGATTTCCATTATGGGGAAGGATTACACTTATAAGCTTCATCTGCATCTTCAGCATTAGTACTTTTGTTTCTATTTTAAAGCACGGCAATAAAATGCTTGTGTCTTTAAAAAAAGTGAAACAATACTAAATTCAGTAAGTGAGCTTCCACCAGTGCACATCCAAATGGTTGAATTTGTGTCTGATAGGAAGTAGCTAAGATCTTTATGTCCTGCCAGGATGAAAGATATAAACTCTGCCATAAACACATGTAATCTTCTAGCTCCTTTTCTCTCTTTTGTCTGATCAGTAAAAAATATTGCAATAAAGGGAATCTTTATTCTTATCTGATTCATGCTGTTTTTCATGTGAATTCCTTTGTGTCTCCATTGTTCTTGATTTGCAAATAAAGGTTCTATTGACAGCAATGAAAACCAAATGTATTGTTTAAAACCATTAAGATTATGGCCTCTTGGCTGCCCCATGATGTAATAAATTTTCTAAGCCAATATTATCTATCTGCTTGAAATATAAACAGAAAAAACAAAACCATGGCTGGCAGGAAAACCTATCAGTGGCCTTCTTACTCCTACAATGGTAACACAGGAAACAAAAATATCTGCTTATAGAACTTTTTCCTATCCTTCAGTACAACTCTCAATGAGATCATATGTTTCCTTTTCTGTATTTTTTACATAGATAAACTAGCTACATGTTCTGGTCCCACCAGAAAACTAGGCTGCACATTGTTCCCCTACCGGACTCTACCCTTGGTATTCCTTAACACAGAGGCTGCAAAGCTTTGAGTCACGCCCACCAAACTGGTGCCATCCACCTCAACGATAAGATCATTCACCTGGATCCTAAGAAAGGAAAAAGAGAAAGTTAGACATAGATCACCTACCCAACTGCAATAAAGTAGACTTATTGCAAAGTCAAAGGATGTCAAGCTTATGTATTCAGTAATGAACAAAAAACATCATTTTATCAAGTTACTAATTTTAAAAAACCTATCATATTAAAAGTGATTATATTTGCATTTTGGGAGAAATGGAAAAAGATGGCTTATTTTTGGCATCACATTATAACACGCCCTTTTAATTTAGGTAGCATTTATTTAACCACCACACTTAAGCCTGTAATTTCCATCGTAAGTCACTGAAGCCATTAAGTGGATCACCATGTCACCTGACTGGTTTTTAAAAACTTTTTATAATGGTCATAAAGTGAGCCAACACAGTCATTAAGTAAATACATGATTAAGCAGATCCATTCTCCCAAATGGGCATTTTGTTTTTGCTAGAAAATAGCAATGTGTGGCAAATTGTGATCATGTGACCACAGGATGCTGCAACCATAGTCATAAATGCAATCACATGATCTTGGAGATTGGGTGAGGTAGTGGTATGTAGGAGTTCTAATCAAAGATAGAGCATACCTTTTTTCAAGTTCATTGTAATGTTGAACAATATTAAGTAATCAGTCATTATATTGGGATTACCTATATTTAAAGGGTTTAATATTATCTTCATCTGGTTTAAATTGCAGTTTGATCTCCTACAGCGCTACATAATAAGCTTTATGGCTAATTGGGAACATAAATTTTGGACTCTTCGATTCAAATTTCATCCACTGAAGTATGCATGTCTTTCTATACAAGTTTGTGACAGTGAAAGGATTACAATGTTATTTTTATTTGTATCACTCTGGGACCAGGCCAAGGCTATTTTTACTGGAATAACGTTTGATAGATTCTGAAGAAAACTTGTAGCCTTTTTATAAAATTAAAAGGAACATCAGGTAGAGAAGAAATACACAAAAGGATCTTTGGTGGGTACAATGTGCAGAACAATTTCTAAGATTCTACTGAGCTTTCACCCATGAAGGCCTCTGTTTATATTTTGCTGGTGTTCTGGTACTGGGCAAGGAGCCATGTTGGTTGCCATGACAGCATGCAGGAGCCCTGCTGGCATTTAGTACCAGGGCTGCTTTTCTCTCCCATCCTATCTTCCTTTCTGAATAGTTCACTTCCATGAAAATACACAGGCAACAATGAAGCATTCCAGTTCAGCAAAGAGATAGCAGTTCCTTCTTTATTTAAATTAATGGTCTGCCAAATTCAGAGGTCAATCGCTTAGGAGACTAATAAGACCTTTAAAATGTATTGAATCCAGCTTATATTCTACCCCTTCACAATGCTTCACCCTTGATAAATGAAGTACATGAAGAATAATGGTATAATATTTGTAAAACTAAGGCGTCTCAAACAATCCAAAACAATTCTTAAAGGTCAGCTCTAGAGCATCTGAATGATTGCTTCTCAATCTCAATTAGGTTAATATACAGCAACAGTTGCAACTACAGGGCACATACAAGAGAACTAGGTGACTTTTTATCACTGAAAATGTTTATACAATGATCAGCTTGACCTTCCTTTAAAAGACTCAGGAAAAAGTTTACTGATAATTTTTTATCATGTTCTGAAACACTACATTTTGTAGTATTTTTACTGCCTGTTTTTTTTCCTACAGGTAACAGAGCACATGTAAATTTAGAAATATATTTGTTGTCTATCAGTATTTAGACTAGTTGATGAGCATTCTGTTTAAAAGATAAAAATAAACTTCTCATAATCCTGCACATACTGAAGCTCAGGTGTTTATCATTGCAAGCACTGAAGCTTTGAAGTTTGTACAAGAATTTGTAAATTCACAACTTCTGGGGGCGGGGAGGCAGAAATGATGGATTGAAGATGCCTCCACAAAAACCAGAGCTGATGACTGCAGTGGAATGAAAATCTAGCAAGTAAACCATATCTCTGATAATTCCTCTCAAATATTAGCTAAAATTAATTGTCTATTGTCATTGTTCTGGAAAATGGCCAACGTTCTGAAAAACATATGTTCTATGCTGTCCAGCCCAACCCACCACATGTGCAGGATTTGTGTCTGTGTCAAAAAACCTGAAGATGGCAGCCACAGGTAGCATAATTAAATTCAACTCCTTTCATATATGAACATCACATCACAGACACATAAAAAAGAGGCGAGGTTTTATTTGTGCTGCTGCTGGGATCATCACCCTGCTTTTTTCATCCCTCGTTATGAATGCCCCTAGTTCCCACATGCCTAATGCTCTTGATGTTCCCTAGTTGGGTAATGAAACAACCAGCTCAGAGAATACCAAGAATGCCAAAGTTCAAACTTATACTAAAAATAGTCTCTTCTATTTGAATACAAATAATTTATCACTCAATTGTATGTACCTGAAGTTGATACTGGCATTTTTTTTCTTTTTCTTCCTTAAGCATTTTAATTCCTATTTACAATTGTCATCAAATAATAATGTTACATCAGATTATTTTGGATGAATGAAGACTACAATCTTCTATAATAAGCTTAAAATGTAGCAATTAAATAAAATGAGTACAGCAGTCAATGCACATTCAAAAATTAGTGTAATGAGCATGGCAAGATCAGTTAGATTTCATAATACAAAAATATAGATAGCAGGAATGAATGAATGATCGTCCACAAAATGTTGAATTTAAACTTCAATCTCTCGCCATTGACTGATGGAAGTTCCTTTACACCTAGAATACTGTAAGCTCCCCACCCGATTTGCAGTACTGATAGCTAAGCCTTAGCAAATTAACCTACTGCAGAATAATAAAAAACACCCTTTTAACTTTTATAGAATTAGAAAAATTAGAAATTTTAATTCCCGCAATACAATTTTTGATTCTGAAGTCTCTAATTTTAATACTCTGTGAGTGAGAACAAGTCTCAGAGGCAAGTTACATATCACATCAAAATCATATGTAATAATTCTTTAATTTTTTTCAATTTGAGTTCAGAAATTTTTTTGTGGGGGGGGCAGAAATGTTTTATCCTTCTTCTGCCTGCTACTTCCTTGCTGAATATTTCGATTGCTCTTTTCATCCATGGGGGTTCCAGATGGTTTACAATGTGATTGGGACTAAAATATCGTCAATGAGAAGCATTTGGACAAATTTTTCAAGGGCAAATCAGCTGTCAGGTAAAGGGTTAAAGCATATTTTTCTAATACAAACTGAATCCTCCAAGGACTGTTTGCTGTGGAAAATGAGCTGCTGAAGCTACAGCTGCAATATAAAATGTATCTAGTCTTCCTAACAATTCTTTAGGAACAAAGGCTGCCTTTTGTTGCATAATACTGTTTATATTTAATGTTTCCATTTTTAATTTGTTTTTAACATGTTCATGATCTGTTATGAGGATGGGAACACAGATGGCTTAAATACAGTTTCTCCTATAAAATATAACAAATAATAAATACATGAGTTAGATCGCTTTGGAGGACCACATCTTATGGTATTTCTATGCAATCTGGGTTTTTAAATAAAATTCCAACGGGGTTCCCCATATGATCCATATTGATCACATTCAATTTATTAGTTATTATTATGTGCTTTTGTCCTTGGTAAATAAGAACCACATCTTAAAAAGACTAAATTTCCCATGATTTTCCTATCAATGTGTGGAGAGAGATGAGAAACATCTTTTGGTTTGCTTTGTGAAATGTAGTCACCTTATAACTAAATTACTTGAATGTTGGCACTCCTGCCTGCTCTTCTAAGTGGCAAATATAACCTCTTATTACATTTTATAGGGCTGTTTTGCTTCAGCTCTTTTAATGCTTCAACTTTTCTAATGAAGTACAAAGAAGTTCTATATCTGGACTTCTGCGCATTCCAGAGCTTCTTTCACAAATCTGAACCACACTCCTAATGTTTCATGTTTTGCAGTAATATTTGCATGTGCATATAATGGAGAGAAACAGTCATAACTTATATAGATTAAAAGGAAATTAATCCTATGCTTAATTACAAGCATATTTTTTTAAAAAGGACTGGAAGGACATGACAAAAAGGTCAATATAAAACAAAACCTGTCACCTTTTGAGCTACTTTTCTTAATGCTATAATGTGCATATACAGATAGGCCTTGACTTACAACGGTTGGTTTAATTACCATTCAAAGTTACAATGGCAATAAGAAATGACTTATGACAATTTTTACACTTCTGACCATTGTAACATCCCCATGGTCACTTGATCAAAATTCAGACTCTTGACAACTGGCTCATATTTAAGCCAGTTATAGTGCTTATTGTTGTCATGTGATCATCTTTTGCAAGCTTCTGACATGCAAAATCAATGGGGAAGTCAGATTCATTTAACAACTGTGTTACTAACTTAACAACTGCAATTATTTATTTAATAACTATGGCAAGAAAGATCATAACATGTATCAAGACAACTTAACAGAAATTTTGGGCTCAATTGTGGTTATACGTTGAGGACTACCTGTAAAATAGAAGAAACTGACTAAAAGCTTCTTCTAATCTTAGAAGCAACTATTGCTTTTTATGCTTGCTTCCATGCACCTCATTAGGAAATATTACACACAAACTAAGGTTGTGGTCTTAAACTTGGCAATTTATTAAAACACAGAACACAATTCTATGTGCTTATCAGACATAAGTCATACTGATCCTATGCAAATGAGCAAAGGAGTAAAGCCTAACTCCTGGTAAACTTAATGAACTCTATTTCTGAGTAAATCACTCTGTAAATTTCTTAGTACTTATATTCACATTATAAGAATTTCCCCAGCACCTGAAATGTTTGCCTGCACTGTAGCAGAATAAAAAGTAGATGCACAGAGACATAATAAAAGGGGAGTTTGTCACTCTTTTGAGGGGAAAACAGCCAAAAATAAATCCTGGTTGGAAAAAGAGAGCCTAATGGTCCTCAATTAGGGTTGGTATGATTTTTCACTATCTGTCGAAGAGAAAACATTGACAATGATGGTGCAAATATAATATATGGGAGGTAACTTTTTAACCTTATGTTGCGGCATCTTATGATCCTGAGCTTTTAGGGAGGAAAAGATATATATCTTTGTCAAAGGTTTCACAGAAAACAACAAAGAAATCTAGGATTTTAACCATCTTTCTACTGCAAACAGAGATTGGCTATGATCAATAAAGTAAGAGTTTTTGTTTTGGTAAATTCTTGTTCCAAGTTAAGCTTCATTCCCAATGTAATATCAGTCCTACTGACCTGCCATCTCGATGAGCTGCTCCTCCTTCTGTCACAGTCTTGACAAATATGCCAAGCTTTTCTAGACCCATATCAGCTCCAGCCCCCATTCCAATAATACTGATCCCAAGACCCTCAGAATCTGCATGAGACAAGGAAGAGGTGAATTGAATTAAAATATGAGATGCCAAGTCTGAAGGTTACCAGAATCTGGTAATAAATCCAATGAAACCTGCTACTGCAAATTTCTTCATCAGTTAGAAGGGAATCCTTCCTGGCTCTTTAAAGAGAAATTGACTGTGCATCATTCAACATGTTTAACAGGTCAGTTAAAAATCTAGCAGCTATATATATGTACAACATGCTAAACTTTATTGTAACTCTCATTGATTAGTTTATAGGGGGGATAGTGGGTTTAGTGTGTTGTGCAATATCAGCTCATTTCTTTTGGTTATGGTTCAATCCACCCACCCCCAATTCCTGCTGTGCTGGCTCATTATCAAGGAAGGGGAAAGAGAGGAAGAGGAAAGGGGGAAATAGTTTGTTTATTTTTTTAAGGTTTTACATAATTAAAAGATAAATAATTAAGTATACATAAAGAGCAAAATGAAAAAGTACAGATGAGAAAATAGTACAGACAAAGGAAAAAAGGATGCTTCTTCTAATTTTCCTTATTACTTTCCTATATTCATTTTCCCCCTTTAGAATTATATTATAGTTCCCTTTTCTCATATTTACCCCTTCTTAATCAGCAAACTGAGAAATCATCAGTTCATTTTTGTCCATTTTCAGCATAAAATCCACAAACAGAGTTTAGAATTTCTAGCAGCATCACCCAAGGCATGAAGGTAACTACATCTTGCCTAGTTAAAACAAGCAGGCACCTATATTAGGCAGCAGTTATATAGGAAGAAGCTGGAGATAGATAATCACTTCAGTGCAATAGCAACAGTATCAATTGATACTGTGGTAATTGTAAACCACTTCTATATTTTTATGAAGAAAACCACATGAATAGAAAATATAAAATGATATAATGTTAAATGATGTGCCCCTCAGGTCAGATTACATTCAACATGCTACTTAGAAACGGCCAAGGAACTTTGAGAATTCTAATGGTGTTTATAAAGTGGCTAGATTAAAGCCTTTGGGACATTGAGTTCCCGATGTTGCCATACTGGAAAAGAAAATCAGAAGCTGCAAAGTCAGAATTACTTTGTGAACATGGAACATATGAAGTATGAATATCAGAAAATTCAACTCAGTGAGGAAAATCAGACAGAAAGCATGACTAGATGAGCTAATTCTACTTTATTGTAAGGATATATTAACAGAATTTACTTTCTTATAGGGTTACATTAACAGAGTCTTGTCTACTTGCAAGTCTGAAAATAGAAAGTTCCCGCTATGACTTTTAACTGCTGGGTCCATTAGGGTGGGTCCTTCCTAAGTTTCTTTCTCTTGACCATCAAGTCCCTTGATTGTTTCCTAGGCAGAATCTCTTCCCTCATTCCTCAAGGTCATACAATGAAAGATGAAATGAAACAGCTTAGGCATCAATGAAGAGTCAGAAGATTATGATATTTATTATTCAGGACATTAAAAACAAAGTGACATTATTTTTATAGCTAGGAAAAGTATAGCAAGAATAATACTTGGCTACAAAGCAATCAATGGACAAATACTGTAAACCAGAATTTGGGGGCAGCCCTTTATGACCCTTCAACTTTATGGTCCAAATATTCATGCAGAACAAGAGGTGGCCAATGAATTTTATGATCAAGTTCAATTTGAAACTAATAGAACATCCAATCAAGAGATGGAATGTGTGAGTTGAAAATATTAAACTTAATTATGAAATTGAAAAGCGCGACATTAACTTATTAATTTCAGATATTCCAATTACTTCTTCATAGCTTCAAACAACCAAAACAATGTATCTGTATACAATCTCTTTAGATGGAGAATACAGAAGTCAAATTGACTATATTATTGCTAAAAGAAGGTGGAAAAGTTCAATTATAACATCAGACATGAATAGGAGCTGACTGGAACAGATCACAAAAGCTCATATGTAAGAAAGAAGAAAGTCAACCAGTTTCCACAACACGTGGTAAAACTACACTAATCATTTACAAGGAAAACAATAGGAATTTCTTTGAAGTCCTGAGCTTCATTAGAGAACCAAAGAATTGGGAAATGAACTGAAAGAAGAATGAATGTGAAAAGGGATTGCCAAAGATGGAGAAACAGAAGAGAGCAAACTAGATGCCAGAACAAATTTGCAATTAGCAAGAGAAGAGAAACGAAACTAAAAAAGATAAAAATCTCAGAAAGAAGCTTTACAAAGAGTTTCAGAGATCTGTCAGAAGAGACAAGAAGCAATATTATAATAACATTTATAAAGACACTAAAGATGGAAAAAAACATGGAAAAATAAAGATGTTTCTAAAAATGTCTAAACCTAGGAGATTTCAATCTTAATATGGTACATTAAAGCAAAATCAAAGGAGATCAAAGATAGAAGGAATATACTGAAATACTGTATAGTAGAGATGCCAATATCTGTGAGGGAATGTGCACCAGGAGAATTAGTGGATAGAAGTTTTGGCAATACAGATCTTTTTCAGGGAGAAGGTAGTAAATCTCATTAGAGAAAGGTCAAGATTAAGACACTGTGCAGTCCCAAAATGGATGGGGGAGAGGCAAGATATTTAGAGTAGCCACATTCTAAAGTATCTCAGAATATATCTAGTAGGTTACAAGGTTATAGCTTTAGTTTGGCAAGATCCTGTTGATTAAGTACAAGCAAATAAAGCATTGGACTTGATTGGATTTCGCTGTGTCATTTTTGGGTTTGGGCCAGATAACATCCAATATAGTAGTTATTTCCTTTTTACAAGAACCTCTAGTACTAGAAGATGAAGTGAGATCAGCACTTCAGTCATTACTAAGTCATAAGGTTACCAGATACAGGAATATGGCAGGCAACAGAAGTAAAGGTTCCAACTATAGTATCTTAGAAAATTAGAGAATGACATAATAACTAGGAAATTAGAAATGGTAAATATACATTACAATATGAAAAGGGGGTCTTAAACAACTGTGCACACTATTATACAATATTCTTAATTTCACAAGCTAGCAAAATAATGCTTAGAATATCCAACACAAATTAGAGCTCTATGTGAAGAAAAAGAAATGCCAGATGTTCAAACTGGCTTTAGAGAAGGAAGAGGAACATGCAACATTATTGCTGATGCACTCTGGATAATTGAGAAAGCTAAAGAATATCAAAAAGAACCCAATATGTGCTTCATTCGTTATAAAAAAGCCACTGATTGTGCCAACCATATCAAGCTGTGGAACATGCTCAGAAAATGGGATTCCCAGGACATTTCACTGTCCTCATGAAAACCCAACCTACAGATCAGAAAGCCACAGTATGGATAGACCATGGTGAAACAGACTGGTTCCAGGTTGGCAAAGGATGAGACAAGGATATAGATTCTTCCTTTATTTATTCAGTCTATATGCTGGATAAATACAGATAGTCCTCAGTTTATGACTGAGCCTGGCAATTACAGTGGTAGGTTATGATGATCATAAAGCAGGTCACCACCATGTGATCAGATCCAATTTTACAATATTTTTTACAATGTTGTTCAGAAAGTTTTCCTGTAAATAAAATTACAGCATCTCTTTCAATTATTTCTTTGTTAAACATAATAAATCCATTCCCCAAGTGAAAATAAGATGCAACTGTTGGGAAAACTGCCAAGCAAAATTTTAAAGAATTTTTTTATTATTAAGAATCAAACAAAGATAACAATCAAAATGGACAAATAAGAGATAATGATTGTAGTGATTTGTGGTAGATAAGAAGCCATTGTAGACTTTCTATTAATTAAATGTAACAATAGATTATTAACAAAGGGCTTTGAAGTTTAATTTTGCTGTTAGTTTTACTTGTTAACTACCTTTTCTTATATATAATAGATGGCAGGTTAAATTAGTTGCAAATCGATGTATAGAATAAATTATAGGCATGCTCTGCAAGGAGGGAAAACTATTATTGCTGTAATATACTTATCTGTGTTCAAGTAGGAGGGCACAATATATGTAGATATGCTTTTTATCTTAAATCTTGTCTAATGCACATTTTTAATGTCTAATTTTTTCTTCTTTTTGTAATTTTTTTTCTTTTTTGGAATTTGTACTTTAACTTTCTGAATAGAATTAAAAATGATTGTGAAAGAAAACAAACATGGTGGTTGTTAAATGAATCATTGTTCATTGTGTGTCAGTTTTTGCCATCAACCACAATGAAACACTAGTTTATGGCATGGCATGTGACTGTGGGGTGCTGTAAGTGCCCAAAATACATTCAAATGACTGCTGGGTGGGGGGAAGGGAAGAGATATCAGAATTTCGAAACTGGGTTGTAATTAGCTTTTTGGGGGGAGGGGTGTTCATTGCAATTCTGAACAGTCTCTAAGCATCCAGTCATAAAAGAAGGGCAACCTATATTAAGAGAAGCTGATTGGAAGAAAATCAGTGAGGTTTTAAAACTGGAGGGAAAAAACCTGTACTATGCTGGTGACACTGTCATGACAGCTGAAAATGCAATTGAACTGAAAATTCTAGTTATAAAAGTCAAGGAATACAGTGTAAAAATGGACCTACAATTAAATGCAAAGAAGACCAAACTAATGGGGTAGGGGATATCAATCATTCTTAAATTAATAAAAATTCTTAATATAAAGATGGGTAGCTTATCTATCCAGGACTGCTCAGGGGTAACGTTGCAGGGCACATGGTGGGTCAGGGTGAAACAAGCACTGGGTGAAATCATAGCCAAACTTAAGTGGGGACTAGATGAAAATGCGTAGTTTTGATTCAGTTTATTGTGGAAAGCCAGCCTTCTCTTAGAATGGTATATAAACTAGGATATCCTGATATGCCATAATTCTACTTATGTTTTCCAGGCATAATACACAGAAAGAGAACTTTATTCACTTTGATTTAGGGTTTAGCATGATTATGATTCCAGCCACATTGTATTGTAAACTCAGTTTTTTTTCTCTCTCTCTCCCTTTCTCTGTTATTGTTCTCTTCTTTTTTCTCCTATGCAGCAGACTGCAGGAAAAGAGAGATATGTCTTATCAAAGATCTAAACTGATTTCTTGCTGAACATGTTTTTAAAAATTAGGCTGAGGGCCCTTACAGCCTTATGAACAAAAGTAGCCTATATCTGCCAAAGCAGCTTATTTTTCTTGTTGCTTTTCCTATGCCTTTCCTAAGGGGAAAATAACTGATAGGAGAAGGGCAAGAAGATAAAAGGAAATGATTGGGAGGAAGCAGTTAAAGGTGATGAGCAAAATATATAGCAAGTTGAAAATAAGGTCCTTCTCATAGACAACTAGTTTACAGCAACTTATTCTTAAAATATGTGTAGAAAATACAAAAGAAGAGCTCATGCTCAGGAATATCTATTCAAAATGCCTTATGTTCTTTCTTGATTCATGCAAACAGCATCCCATTTCTACCAGTTCTGAAAAGGAAAAATTCATCGCCAAACACATTTTTCCCATTACCTTTTTCCAGTTCCACAGGAAATAGATCCAGCCTTTCCACTCTTTTTTCAAGTTCATACTCTGCTGAGGCAGCCATAGGATCAACATCTTCATTTCGACGGTCATATTCCTCATTGGAATAAGTGCTGAAAACCTGGAAATATATTTTAAAAGAGAAAAATGAATAATACAGATGTGAAAATACTTTGATTTTTAGTAAATGATTAATGACTAGTATGGAATTTGTTCACTTAAAACCTAGCTCATGGGCCATGGAAATTAATGCTTCTGATTATGTTTATTTATATATCCAATCAATCTGTAAGGCCACTCATCTCACATTTGTGATTTTTGGATGATTCACACAATTAAAAACAACCAATAAGAACAATCAATAAACAAAATCCAAAAATTAGTAAAAATATAATAATCCTCTTTAAAACCAAAAGCCCCATTAAAAACCAAATTACAACTGAGAAACAGAAAAAACAGGCAAATGGAAGTCATGGATCAACTAATGTAGCCATCTGCAAACCATAGTCTCCAATATGCAGTTTCCATCATTTGCTAGAGTATTTAGTGACCACAATAATGATCTGCAATTTAGTCATTAAGTGAAGTGGCCACTCCCAAACTAATCTACTAACTGTAACTTTTTGATAAAACTGATGAAATTCCAGATGATTGGATATCTAGGAACGAAAATATTTAATGCTCTTGAATTCTGAAGAATTTAATTTTCTTCCTTGCATTTCTATCCAAAAATGTACGTCTAGATTACAGAAATTTGTTAACCCATAGGGTTAAATTTCAGTATCTCACATTTTAGACACCAAACAATGGAATTTATTTCAATGTATTTGGATAAGATTAGGTAAAAGTTCCCAGTAACAGCTAAAACAAAGAGTGCTTAAAATCTCTTGCCAAGTATTTTCTAGAATAGATAGGTCACCTTGATATCACATTGGTGAGTTAGAATTCATTGTTACAGAGGCTGTCAGCAATATGAAGGACTAAGAAGTGATATTTAGCTTTACTTTTTGTGTGATCAGTTTCAGTTCTCAATTCTTACTTCAAATCAGAAGCCATATTTATACATTTTCTCATGTTTATAGGAGACAGACTTTGTTGCCAGGAGAAATTTATCATGCATCTGTGAAGTTTTAACTTTTACGCCAGGATCATCCTTTGAATATATTTTTATAATATTTTGTTTCCCCAGTAGGCTGCTTTGTGAGCCTGAAATATTAAAGAGTATAAATTAAGTAATTTACTAAACTGTAAAAGACCATCCATTTTTGACAGATGTAAGTGGGGATCAGTTTCATGTGATAAACAAAGAAAGCATCATAAATTGATCTAGCAAATTAGCTAGCTTAATTTGCATTTGCAAAAATGTTGAGATAACTAGGACTTCAATAGAAATGCACCAAGAGGTTGGTGAGAAACACAAGGATTATTCTGTCTTCTGCCACTTCACTTGCTTTTAACTAGTCATAACAATTCTTGAAAGAAAAATCTGTGGGTTTATTGCAAAAATTGAATGAGTTTAGAGTTTTATTTCATTTGTATGCCGCCCTTTTCCCTAAGGGGACTCAGGGCGGCTCACAACTCAAAGAAGGGAATGGCTACATAACACTGTAATTTTGTGCCCAGATTGTTTGTATGTATGTATGTATGTATGTATGTATGTACGTATTTGCCTTACATTAAAGGAGGGGGCAAAGCTAGAATTTTTCCCTATATTTCTATGACATTTTTTGTGAACTGCCCACATTTGGGCAATATCAAAATGTATAAATAAGTGTCTAATTTTGTCAAAGACTTAGCAGCTGCAACTACCCAGAACGTTAAGTTTGCTTTTTAAAACCTATTTTGTATCTTAATCTGTTGAGTGAGTCCAACATACTGATTTGAAATGAATCTGTTATTTGGCCAAGTATGATTAGACACATAAGGAATTCGTCTCCAGTGCAGAAGCTCTCAATATACATGGAAAGCAACTGAATAATGATATAATCATTATCATAATACCAATAAAATGCAAGAATAAAAAAGATAATAAAGGTAAATAATACTACCTCTGTATTACATGGACAAATACATAGACATTACACAGCACTATGAGAATTAGGTATTCAGCAGAGTGATGGCAGGAGGGAAAACACTGTCCTTGTGACTAGTTTTTTGGCATGCAATGCCCTGTAGCGGCTTCCAAGGGGAGGCATAGAAACAGTTTATGGCCAGGATGTGAAGGGTCTCACATATCTTCTCAGCCCTCTTTCTGACCCACACAATATACCGGTCCTCAGTGGAAGGCAGGCTGGTTGCAATTTTTTTTCTGCACTCTCAACTATTCATTGAGTCCCCCTGGGAATAGGGCGGCATACAAGTTTAATAAATACATTGAAATCTGTACCTGTCCTGTTTGGTTGCTGTACTAAAGCAGACAGTTTTAGAAAGAAGCACAAATGACAGGTTCAATAATTCCTCTGTAAAAGTGTATCAACAGCTCCTGAGGCAGTCTGAACTTCCTGAGTTGAAGCAGGGAGAACATTCTTTGTTGTACCTTGCTAATGATGGTTCTAATGTTAAAAGTCCATTTCAAGAGAGTTAGAGATTGGTATATTTCAAAAACCCCGAAAATGAATCAGTTCTATAATCAACCTAATATGTCATTGATTATGTTTGCTTTCAATTGTTTCAAATTCTCCCAATTCTTATCTTATTTCTTCCCTTTACCCTTTGACCATTTTCCTATGACAAAACACATGGTAAAACTTTTAAGATGCCTGACAAGAATGATGACTTGGGTTTAAAACTGCTTTCAGCGATGAAATAACTATGGAATGTAGCTTTGGGAGGTGGCAAAATATACTCCCATCTTGAAAACCTAATGGAAAAAAAAATAGTTGCTCTATAGATACTCTTAAACACGTAAGTATTTTTCTATATCACTGTAATCCTCAGGAGGACTAAACATATATCCTTTGGCAAACCTTGTAATAGTCCACCAGTTTCTGGCTTCATATAAATAGAAAGCTAGCATACAATGATAAGGAGGAATCCATCTTCAAGATTCTGAATATCCATCACTGGTTTCTTTTTTACCATTTGAAAAGATAGTTTTCTATACCCCAAAAGCCTTGTGTTACCTGAATAAGACATTTCCCCTCTCTTTGCCAGCGGCCCCCTACTTATAAATATAATATTGAAATTAACAGTACTTCACTATTTTCTCCATGGCACTTTGTCATCAGCTACCAACATTGCCTATTGTTATAAGGAAAGTTGGGAAGTTGTAATGTTGCAAGGAAGAGCATGAAACAATTGGACAATCCAATCCATGTCTTTCCCTATTATGTGAATTCTGACAGCATAATTAGATGACTTTATATCTAAAAGCAAAAGTAATTATAGCAATAGCAATAGGAGTTAGACTTATATACCGCTTCATAGGGCTTTCAGCCTTCTCTAAGCGGTTTACGGAGTCAGCATATTGTCCCCAAAACAATCCGGGTCCTCATTTTACCCACCTCGTTTTACCCATTATATCCAAGTTTATTCTTAAAGCTAATGGACATGTTCCAAGGATCTGTTTACAGTTTTAAGTACCTTTGATTTAAATGAGTTATCTTATGTATAACTAAATCTAGGACCAATAACTTCTCCAACATTGTTTAGGAGAAGATTCTGTATAGACATTTAATAATGTAAGCCACCCAGAGTCACTCTGTACTAAGATGGGAGGGAGGGGTGGTCAATAAATTTAATAATAAATAATAATAATATGATAAATTTCTGCTGATTTGTATTCCCCCATTCTGCAATATATAACAATATATATAATGTGATAGATCAGCACATAAAACACATACTGTACATATGTGCACAAAAGTATGCATTGACCTATGAGAATTCATACGTCTGTCTTCCTCAAAAGCAGCTCCTGAATTACTCCAAATACAGTGTGCCTAAAGCTTTATACTGCTTTATATTTTCTTGTTCCATGGGACCAATGATGATCCAGACTCAGCATCAAAGGAGGGTTCCAGCATGAGTTTGCTCATGAGCGCGCTTTGCACACATGCACAGTGCAATAAAAATTGTTCTGCACATATGCAGAAGCGAAAAATAAGATAGCGGTGCCTATGACGCCTCCCAGAGAACCGGTTCAGGGGCGTGGCATGCCTGAGTCGCTGCCAGTTCCAGCGACTCAGGCCACCAAACTATTACCGATTAGGCCAAATTGGTCCGAACCGGTAGGAACAACACTACTGCTTGGCATCCACCTATATATCCACATGTCTCTTATTTATCCATATGAGATATTCTTCTTTTTCCTTTCCCCATCTCTTCCCAAATAAAGAGGAAAATATTCCTTTCTCCATCTTTTCTTGTTCTAAGCAGAAGTGGGCAACTTGCCACTCTTAGAGTTGCTTGTGATCTTTGGCCCAATTTCAGCTGTCTTTTGGAAGCCATTAGTTTAGATCTTTAGCAAGAGCAATGTGTTCCTCTTACAACATTGCCTGGCAAGGAAGAAGAAGAAAGGATAAAAAGAGAGAAAGTCAGAGAGAATGAGATGGCAGAAAGATGGAAACAAGAGAGAAAAAGGGGGAAATGTGGGTTATTTCTAGCTCCACCCATTCATGTTTTCAACTCCATCAACTACTGGCATGTATTGTTGAAGATACTTCCTCTGACAAACAGCTCTTTGCTTCTGTTTCATATATAATCTTGCCCCACTTTCAATTCTTCACAAAATCTTGACTTAACTGATTCCCCTATTTTAATTTTTCCTGCTGGAGGGAATCATTCCTAGCTCTTTCTACCAGCATTCACAGCAGCAGGTTCAATTCTCTGACGCCCCCATCCTCAATCTCTATCCTGTAATTGAGCCACACAGGCTGTCACAGCCAGTGAAGAAAAGCAAGAGAACAGCACCCCCCTCCCTTCCTCCAAACTGCTACAGCATTAATTAAGTTGCCAGGGTAGCCACCTGCTTGCCTTCACCCTGCCATTCCAGTGCATCTTTGCACCACCTCCAAGGCCTGACTTGTGTGTGGGAAGACACAGAAGTTTGGGGAAATGCTCATCTCCCCACCACAGCCACCCTAGATTTAAGAAAACCTTTTTCACATCTCTTGAATGCAG